ACTTGTAAAAAATAAAACTTTTTATGCTAGAGAAAATATTTGTTCTTTTATAAAAATAATTGAGAGTTTGTTTGAATTTCGCGCAAAGCTGCACGAGGGCTATCTACGCTAGCCGTCCCTAATTTAGCAGTGTAGGACTAGAGGGAAGGCAGCTAGACATCATCACCTACCGCCAACTCTTGGGCTACTATTTTACCAAAGAATAGTGGGATTGACAGTTACATTATAACGCCCTCACGGCTGAAATGGCGAGCATGTTTGGTGTGACGGCGATTCGAACCTGCGACCCTCAGATTGCTAGTCGATCGCCCTAACCACCTGGCCATGCCGAATAATTGCGAGATGAAACAAGAAATGTTTCACACAATAAAATATGTGCGCTAGCAATAAGTAAGAAAATAAAATACAAGAGAGTATTATTATGCACAATTTCGTATGCGTCAAATTCCTACTTATCGTACGAATGCAAGTTATCACAATAAAATAAATAAGCTCAAACTTGAATTTGTAATCCAATATATCTATTTATTATTAAATTTAAAAGTACATACAATTGTGTTACAATTGCGATATAATTCCCAATCAAAGCTACTAAAATTTCAGGAACATGAAAGTTGAGTGAATATCCTCAGAAGTGTTTTAGTAAGAAACACAGAAATATTTTATTTTTAACAGGACGTGAGAACGACCAACGCGTTAGTTTCGTAATCACTATGTTCAATTATTCATTGCAGAATGCACTCAGGCTTCCGGGTTTGTTTCTCTGCACGAACGCGGGTGTTATACCAAATTCCACAGTGCTGCATCCTTAACATTTGTGCGTGATCAGAAGCCCACACTAGGAAAAAAAGAGCATAGGAACTAGCGAGGCATAAAATAATAGAAGCCTTGATTGTCGCTGTTACTAGGGTATAACCTAATCGGGCAGTTTTAATGCGTTAACTATGATTGATAAAGTACTCAATTTTTGGCAGCAATACAATTTGAAAGTGATAAATGTATTTGAAATGAAAAATGATGGAAACTAATTATGTATCTTTTTTGAAAACTGGACTACTATGGATTTTTGATAAAAAAACAATAGATATGTGAAGCTATAGGATTTACTATAAAGAAAGCTAACATTCATTACAATTTTAATCCATTGTTAATTATTGCCAATATTATAGTATGACAAACAATATTTAAACAAATCACGTAGTTTTTAATCTGTCATATTATTTTTCAGATTATTAACATTATAGTAATTGTGTAAGTATGGAAACAAACGAAAATCATTTGGTTCACATTAAGTTATGTTTGATGTTTCGGCAGTACGTATGATATCTAAAGCCTTGCCAGTATCTGATCTGTCTTTGGCGCTATATTCACTCATCTTTGCCTTAACATTCTCTTGTTATAATCGGCAGACACTGCTACTTGGTAACCACTTTGTAATTTGAGTTTTGTTTTATAAATAATTTTCACATGCCACAAGTTTGGTGGACTAAGTCAGGTTGGATTCATACGTTACGTCACGAACCTTGGTATCTTAATTCTACTCTTATTACAATCAGCTAAAGCACCTACTTAGAATAAACTATCTTTCACAGACATCTCATAAGCACAGAATATTAATATTATATGACCTCCTTACTCATACCTGAATTATTCAATTAACGATGTTAACATAACATTAAAACACGACTAACGGGTTTAAACATGCTGAAGATATCATTACTTTAAAAGAGATATGAAAGTACATGCATAAGAGTAGCAAAAGTTACCAGAAAATTCGTCATTCATTTTCCTTATACTTCTTTTTATTATATTCAATCCAAATGTTATTTTCAGAACTTCAAGTCCAGCACAAGATAAACCATATTTACATAGGCTTTCTGCTGTTACACCAACATTTGTATTCCAGTACATACCTAAACTTAGATATTTTTGATGAACGTTGTTAAACGTTGGCCACTCGACTCTTTCAAAACGACTGCTCATTATTTCAAGGTCTTCATGCAACGGAACATTTGGGTCACTATAAAGTCAGACAGTATACTTCGTAAATCACATAAACTTTTAACACTAGTATAATATATTCATTTTATGAATATTTATTACAAATACATATTTACGTTTTACGATATGACCCCCCCCCCCAAATAACAGTAACTATATAACTACTTCTTAGATTATACATGGTCTTAAATATAAAAATAGGTGTTGTGAGTGTGCTGTCAAGTAGATAATGACATTTATATATGAATGTACTGTTCAAGGATGATGGAGAATTTCAATATGTTTGATTAGTCTGATATAAAATTTTTTCTTCCTTTTTTGTGTAAAGCTGCTCAATGGAATATATGCGTTCTGTTCACCAGGAGGAATAGTATATAGGATTTTAGCGTTATATGTCGGTAAACTTACCGTTGACTCACGGTAGACACTAGTAAAGACGACGAATTTTTAGCATTATCGAACTATTGGTCTCACATATTTGAAGTTAAGCACAAAGCTGCACAATGGGCTATCTGTGCTCTGCCCACCACGGGTATCGAAGACTGTTGGTCACATTTGATTCATTTTGAACTACGACGTAGAGCATCGTAAGTCATTTACTACCCAGTCTTTATAACAGTCCATAGACTCGAGATGTTTCATGATTATACTTGATTTGTGTTCATTTAAATAGTTTAGTGAGTGATAAGAAGTAACATAATTGGTTATAAAACATTCAGTTATGGGAAAATTACAGAAACAGAAATTAAACGAAGGACTGATTATATAAAAGATGTGTTAAATGAAAAATATATATTTATTTACTTTACATAACGAACACAACAGTACTAATTCAGTTAAACTTCAGCTTATGTTATAAACTGTTTTAACACTTGTTTGCCGAGAACAAAGTTCATAACAAACACAACAGTACTAATTCAGTTAAACTTCAGCTTATGTTATAAGCTGTTTTAACACTTGTTTGCCGAAACAAAGTTCATAACGAACACAACAGTACTAATTCAGTTAAACTTCAGCTTATGTTATAAACTGTTTTAACACTTGTTTGCCGAGAACAAAGTTCATAACAAACACAACAGTACTAATTCAGTTAAACTTCAGCCTAAGTTATAAACCGTTTTAACGCTTGTTTGCCGAGAACAAAGTTCATAACAAACACAACAGTACCAATTCAGTCAAACTTCAGCTTATGTTATAAGCTGTTTTAACACTTGTTTGCCGAGAACACAGTTCATAACGAACACAACAGTACTAATTCAGTTAAACTTCAGCTTATGTTATAAACTGTTTTAACACTTGTTTGCCGAGAACACAGTTTTAGATAAA